CACAGCTGGTGAGGGGTCTGGAGCACAGGCCTGATGAGGGGGGGCTGAAGGAGCTGGGAGTGTTCATTGTGGAGAAGAGGAGGCTCAGGACAGACCATATTGCTCTCTATAACTACCTGAAGGGAGGCTGTAGTGAGCTGGGCTTCGGCCTCTACTCTCATGTAACTGGTGACAGAACTAGAGGGAATGGCTTCAAGCTGCACCAGGGGAGATTTAGGCTGGACGTTAGGAAATACTACTTCTCTCAAAGAGTGGTCAGGCAGTGGAATGGGCTGCCCACGGAGGTGGTGGAGTCACCAACCCTAGAGTTGTTCAAGGAACGTTCGGATTTCGTGTTGAGGGATATGGTTTAGTGAGAACTATTGGTGATAGGTGGATGGTTGGACTGGATGATCTTGTAGGACTTCTCTAACCTTGGTGTTTCTGTGATCTTCTGTGATCTTCCCAGTCCCCAGTCCTGCCCTGTGCTGGTGTTCTGCAACAAACAGCAATCCAACACACTGTGTCCCTGTAGAATCACAGAATCGCTCACGTTGGAAAAGACCTTCAAGAGCATCGAGTCCAACCACAACCTGAAGTACCCCAACTCTAACAACCCTCCCCTAAATCATGTCCCGGAGCACCACAACCAAATGATTTTTAAACACATTTGGGGATGGTGACTCAACCACCTCCCTGGGCAGCCCATTCCAGTGCTTAAGAACCTTCCTGTAGAGAAGTTTGTCCTGATATCCAACCTAAACTTACCCCATGTCTGTGTGTTCTGTGGAACCCCACAGATGTGACAGTGGAGTCTGGTTCTGCACTGGCTTCTCAAAGAAAACCAGCGCACGGTATCAGGAGCGGAGGAGGAAGCAGATGATTCTGCCACTGATGCTGTCATTGCGCGCCCCTCCCCAGGACTCCCACAGCTTCCTCTTCCCAGCCCCGCTCAGCTCCTCACGGGCTGCAGACGCTGCTGAGGCTCTCGCACTCCACGGCCGTCATCTTCTTCTNGTGCTGCCGGACCGCTCTCTGCAGGGCTGCGCTGAGTTCCTGCCGCTGCAGCCAGAACCGCAGCTCCCGTTTTGACAGACGGAGGAGCTTCATGCCGGCACCCACAGCACTGGTCCCCGGGCTGCCGGTGGCACGGCAGGATGCTCCCTGTCTCCCATCGCCCCTCAGCTACGGCATCC